ACCTTGGACGCTACAGCTCTGCTGCGTTCCTCTAATAGCCCTAGCAGTTTGCTTGGGGCCTTTGGGATGTTTCTATATATAGGATCACATCTGCAAATATATGGATGACTTTGCTTTCGGGGTCTGTTTTTAAACCTACTTAAAAGAGGAGGGAAAATCTCTATGGAGCCAGAGATCCGGACAATGTATAAAATAGGCTTGTCAGCCAGAACATCGTGCGAGCTAAAGCCAAGTGACTGAGATGCAAAAGGCTGATGGTATTTATAACGGGGAAGTAAGAGGGAAGACCCTTCTCCCACATTTATATAGAGGTTCCTGTTTAATTTTGGAACAGTGAGAAAAAAATTAATGGATCAAATAAGCACTTACTGTAAAAGCGTTCGGCAGTATCCGTTCCTATAATGAACAGCATTAACTTTGTCTATTTCTGCTCGTAGCACTGTCTATTATTCACGAACCAGGTTTCATGAACAAGAGTGACAGCTCTCACCGTGGCAGGCTCAGGGTCGCTGGGAGTTGGAATCGAGGCGATGGCAGGGAGTTTGGTTTGGGTGCCAAACACTTTATGTTCATGATTTCATTTCACCTTTAAGCAACCTACTGGCATTTTACAGACAAGGAAGCCATGCTGGGCCACGAGGCCCGAGGATTTGTTTTGTTCATCGATTGTTCATTGATTGATACCCCAATAGTAGATGCCTAATAGATGCTGCTGACTGCACGAGGCCAACGGGGACCCAGAGCCTCTCGTGGGCCCTGGTAGCCTGTGGTGTTGCTAAGCTTAGGACACCTGGGGTAGGACACCATGCTCTGGGGCCTTGACCCCTCTGAGAGACAGACAGACAGAGAGACAGACAGACGCCACTCACCTGACTCCAGCTCCCAGCAAACCACTCCACCTTGCCAGTGCAGGGTCCATTGTCACAGGGGGTGGCCTCTGAGGGACGGTTGTTTCCACAGCCCTCCAGGGGCAGGCTGCCCACATGGTTGGTCATGCACACCACCGAGCGAGTCCGCACTCCAGCCCCACACTCGGCTGAGCACTGCAAGACAGAAGGGGCCGCGTCACTGGGGAGGTCCCAGCAGGTCCCAGATAACTTCCAAGTGGGGCAGAGGATCACTTGACACCTGCTTTCCGACCAAGTCTCCCCCCCAAGACGTCCTGAAAGCTCCTCCCATGTTGACCAGTCATTCCCCACCCCATTCCCATCATGGGGAGTCCCTGGGTGGTACACATGCCTGGCTTCTCCTGGCTGCAGTCTACCCACAGGCACCTGGGAATAAAGACCGACAATCTCCTGAGAAAGCAGCCATTGGCAAACCATGCGGAGCATGGTTCTCCTGTGACACCGCCGAGGGGTCACCGTGAGTCATCACGGACTCAATAGCAATCGGTTCTGGTAACGCTGGTATGGGAGGGGGCGTTACGGCAGCCCCCCATGTGGGGTTTTCTAGGTCAGTCTTAATTCCAAATAGCCTGACCCAGGGTGGCTATGGACATGCTTACTGTCTATCCTGGCTTTCAAGTTCACGGGCGGGATTATCTCAAGGGGTAATGGAAGCCACCTGCAACATCAGAAAGTTAATTTAGCCTCGAGTTCCAGCCCCCACCACGTGATGCATCAGCAACTAAGAACTGCGTGGGGCACAGGCCTGGCTGCTTCATCTCCACATTCAATCTCTGTCTCACAAGGGGGCTTTTCAGAGCAGAGTCACCAAATTCTGTCTCGGGCCGCGGTTCCCAACCTGTGGGTCGCGACCCCTTTGGGGGGTCAAA